AATGAACAAGCTCTTACAGAGGGGATATATCAGTCACATATACTGAACTAGCTCTTAGAGAGGGGATATATCAGTCACATATAATGAACTAGCTCTTACAGAGGGGATATATCAGTCACATATACTGAACTAGCTGTTACAGAGGGGATATATCAGTCACATATACTGAATTAGCTCTTACAGAGGGGATATATCAGTCACATATACTGAACTAGCTCTTACAGAGGGGATATATCAGTCACATATAATGAACAAGCTCTTACAGAGGGGATATATCAGTCACATATACTGAATTAGCTCTTACAGAGGGGATATATCAGTCACATATAATGAACTAGCTCTTACAGAGGGGATATATCAGTCACATATAATGAACTAGCTCTTACAGAGGGGATATATCAGTCACATATACTGAACTAGCTCTTACAGAGGGGATATATCAGTCACATATAATGAACTAGCTCTTACAGAGGGGATATATCAGTCACATATAATGAACAAACTCTTACAGAGGGGATATATCAGTCACATATAATGAACTAGCTCTTACAGAGGGGATATATCAGTCACATATACTGAACTAGCTCTTACAGAGGGGATATATCAGTCACATATACTGAACTAGCTCTTACAGAGGGATATATCAGTCACATATACTGAACTAGCTGTTACAGAGGGGATATATCAGTCACATATACTGAACTAGCTGTTACAGAGGGGATATATCAGTCACATATAATGAACTAGCTCTTACAGAGGGGATATATCAGTCACATATACTGAACTAGCTCTTACAGAGGGGATATATCAGTCACATATACTGAACTAGCTGTTACAGAGGGGATATATCAGTCACATATACTGAACTAGCTCTTACAGAGGGGATATATCAGTCACATATACTGAACTAGCTCTTACAGAGGGGATATATCAGTCACATATAATGAACTAGCTGTTACAGAGGGGATATATCAGTCACATATAATGAACTAGCTGTTACAGAGGGGATATATCAGTCACACATAATGAACTAGCTCTTACAGAGGGGATATATCAGTCACATATACTGAACTAGCTCTTACAGAGGGGATATATCAGTCACATATACTGAACTAGCTCTTACAGAGGGGATATATCAGTCACATATACTGAACTAGCTCTTACAGAGGGGATATATCAGTCACATTTTGAACAATACTAGACTAATCTGCTTAAAAAGAGGCTTCCATTTGTCGTCACCACGGGGAGAGTGTTTATACCATCACTTAAAGTGACTTACCCCGGTGAAACACAGTTAAAGACTGCCAGATATGGAGGCGACCGTACTATCTAATCTAATTTCAGAGTTTTTTCTGTCCTCTGTGATGTGAGGAGAAGAGCTAACCCATTGGTTTATGTTTCCATGGTTTGGTTTGGAAAAATCATATATTTATCTGACTCTTCTTAATGGACAAATGTAACTGCTTTGCAGTGGGTTCTGAGATTGATAAAGAGGCCTCTGGAGTCTGGAAACGTTAGACACCAAATGATTTATTAGACAGACATGCTGGCACCACAGACAGTTATGTAATATGTAGATTTGATAAAAACAAATATTTTCTGACTGTGCCGCAAATCATTGGAGAAGGCTTATCATGTTAATACCTTAGGCCATGATTCATAAAGTCTATTTGTTAATTCTCTGAACATTTTTAAAGGAACACTACACACACCTAAAGCACTTTAGCTTGTTGGAATGTTCTATGAGATTGCCATGTTTTTTTCATTTTACAAAGAGTGCAGATTTGAATAGAAATTGACACTTTTATAAATGAACCTTGTTACACCCCCCTGCCTCATTCAGGCAGCCGGTCCTGTTACTTCCTGGCTGTTTAGCTCAGTGGAGCTTAACTCAATATACAGACAATTGCTCAGAGTACCTGCCTTGCATAGACTACACATTGAGCTGCATTGGGAAGTCTATAAGTGGACAGCCACAGAATGTCTGTATCGGTGATCAGGGGGAGGGCTTGCAAAGTCTGCAGACAAGAGTTCTGCAGCTTATACACACTTAAATGCACTATTGGCACTATATAATAGGTCTCCCTCCTTTTATGCAATGAAAGACACTAAAAAATATAGTTTAAAAACTTAGATGATATACAGCGCCAGGCTGGTGTATTCCATGTCCACGTCCAGATGTCATGCCGTGTCACGGACTTCCTCTACTTGATCTAAGCAAATGCTTCTTATAGAGAAGCATTTGATTTGAACGTTTGACCGACTCAGAGCACATGCACGCACTCTGACCTAGTAAGAGGAGGGAGGGGGAATTGGAGCCTTAAAAAAAAAAAAAAAAAACTGTCAAGGGTATATGGCGATTGAGGGAGGGGAGATGAACACTTACTCTTGCACGCACTACCTGCAAAGAAGAAGCTTATTACTTGGCGAATTACCCCGAGTTCTGGGCTGGCAGTCAAGTGTGTTAATGTGTGCTTGGGGAGGTACAACTAGCGCAAATATTTGTGGGTCTGCAGTGTTTCATGCAGAAAAGCTGTGTATATACTGCTATCACCATGGCCACCTCCAAAAGCAGAAGTGGTCATGGTAGTTGGTGTAACCCTTTAACTTTGCATTAGCAATGTTAAAGAAGAGCACACATTTTATTTTTCTTTGGTGTGCTTTAACAAGTGTTGATGTGCACATTTTATACGACTCTACAAAAAAATGTATTCCCACTGCAAGTGCTTTCTTAGCATGAATTCTCAGCTCTCTTACCGTTTATTTTCTGCAGTAAAGAAGCTATGTTATATACTGGAAGTGATGGCACACAAATGTTACCTGCCCTGCAACATAGTAGTTAATTTCAGACACACACGGCACACGTTATGTTTGTGCTATAACGCAGGACTTGTACCACCTGGAAGTGTCCGCAATTTCATCTTGAAAGCTTCATGGATGTTTATTCTTGGCCATCTCATTTCTTTTTTTAAAAGGGTAGAGTTGCGGGGCGGAGGGTTCGGATAGCAGATAGATAGCACAGTAAAGAAGGGGGAGAAAAGTAATAGATAATCATCTAGGAATGTCTGACATCTTTTAAAATCTTTGCTCAACCTATGTTTACCCCAGAGTGTCTGAACATGGATTGGATTGATTGGTTATTGTACTATGGAGCCTTGCGTGGCCTATTCATACTGCAAGCTGCTTTGCTATGCAGCCTCACTATTTCATGCGCACACTGTAAGTACATTGTGTGCACAATATAAGATAAGAATTTAATAGATTGTGCTCATGATTTCAAAATAAAATGCTCTGTGGCGTCTCCAAACTCCATTAAAAAAAATGAGAGAGCACGTAAGAGAAAGAGATGTTGTTTTGGGGGAACAGATCTCCAGGTGTAGCCTTACCTCTATTGGTCAGTAGTCATTTTTTTCCTTTCCCTCTTACAATATAATGGATGGATGTAGTGGATCACAGGAGGGGGTGGATGTCACCAGTGGGGGGGAGAGGAGGGAGCAATTGTGAGGTGCAATACAAAAACTGAAAGATTGGGTGGTTTTATACTTAAACAGGATTATTCACTAAAGTGAGATTTATTGGGAAATCAAAGTCGATTTCAAATTTAATGTCAAAATGCCAAACTGGAGAAATTCAGTTATGCTCCCATTTTGGATATATTTTGGTCTTAAATTTGAAACAAACTTTGAATCCCCTATCAATGTATTTTTAGTAAATAACCCTGCAATTGTTTCAGGTTTCAATGTATCATGCAAAGCACAATTGTTTAATAAATCATATGTAGGTTTATGCAGTTTAAAACCTAATTATTAACAATGATCAAGCAAATACTTTAGATCTGCTTCCTTTGGTGTTTACCTGTTTGAAACCACGGAAATGCTAAAGGAACAAATAAGACAAAAGAGGAAGCTTATGATGTTCAATATGGAAAGGAAAACAAAAGGTGTAAAAATAGAAACCACGCAGATTGCTATGCTTTTCAAAGTTGTCGTGACTGCACAGTACCTGCGCTCATCAAGTCATGGAGTCAAACAAAAGAGGAGGATCTATGAAAAGTGACTAAGGCAGGAGTACGTGTGGGCAGCTGTCTCATCAGAACCATGGCTTCTACCAGAAGAGCAGCTTTTCCATAGCACAAATCTCAGATAAAAAAATTTAATGCATGATTTAACCCATCACAAAAAAAAACGTGAAAGAAAATATATTTGGATTAATTGAAGAAAAAACAAAACTGCAAGAGTTTCTTATGAACATCTTGTAATGCCAGGTGTGTTGATCAAGGAAGGGTTCTCAACCCAGTCCTCAGGACCCCCTACCAGTCCAGGATTTGGGGATTACCTGGGTGTGTCTCAGGTGTTTAGAAAAAGGGAAAAAAACACCTTAGACTCTAAGGTGTTTTTTTTTTCTTTTTCTAAACACCTTAGACACACCCAGGTAATCCCTAAAGGGGGTAGGGGGTCCTGAGGACTAACGTTGAGAACCCCTGGTTTAGAGATATTGTTCCACAACTTTACCAGGATAATATGAAGCAAGTTTTTTTTTCTAACCTCGTGCTGCTACATTCTTTGATTCCGGGCATGGTGCTGGGGACAGTTTCTAGATAAAGTATATGTTGATGTCCCCTCACCTCCGTTGTTGAATAGGTGTGTCGGTGATGCAATACTTGTCACAGTCTATGTGTAAAATACTCTTGCGTTGGCATGAATACCCTACACTGGCAATGTGCAACAGGTGGGCTTGGGTTTTAGTTTTTAAGGCCTAAAAGGTGGGGTACCAAAGGAAAACAAGGTACAGCAAAACAGGGGTCCAAAATGATTAATACCCAGGTGTATCCAGGACGTTTGGATGGGTGCTTTCTCTATGGCAGTGACATAAAATTAATTGGTGAGATCTAAATTAGTGAATAACATTGTATTTATATGTCTGTTAACAATTTGGCAAGCACATTGTAGAGATAAAATAGTAATCGCTGTAAAGTGAGCGCATGCCATTTTTGCATGACAGTTACATCTAAATACACCAAACATGGAAAATATTTTAACACGTCAAATGAGAGGAAAATATAATAGCTTTATTTAAAACCAGATTTATTTTTTTCCTTATTTTGAGTCTTCAGTGTTTAAACTAGCTTCAAGTTCCTTCCTGAGGTTGTTTAAGCTCAGATAAAGCAGTGTACACGGCAGTCTCCCGTGAGGAGAACATCTCACGCACATTACTTAGAAATCATTCAGCGCTGAAAGATTGTGTGTATCCAAACAAAAGGCAGAGCACTAACGGAATTGTGCACTCACAACACATAAAATCATTCATCACTATGTCTGTGAGCTCCATGCAGGTGTAATATTACACTGAGTGTGAGTGTAACATAATTAAAGGGACACTATAGTCACCAAAACAACTTTAGCTTAAAGGACCACTATAGTGCCAGGAAAACAAACTTGTTTTCCTGGCGCTATAGTGTTAATAGGTCGCTCTCCCGTCGGGCTCAAGAGGGGTTAAGGGGTTAATCACTTGCCTTTTTCCAGCGCCGGGCTGGGGACTCTCCTCCCTCTTGCAACGTCATCCGCCAAATGCATTCAATCAGTCCATATGAAAGAATTTCTCAATGCTTTCCTATGGACGGCAGCGTCTTCTCTCTGTGAAAATCACAGTGCTTTGCGCCTCTAGCGGCTGTCAGTGAGACAGCCACTAGAGGCTGTATTAACCCTAATGTTAACATGTTTACAGCTGCAGAGTTAACCCTAGATGGACCTGTCACCCAAACCACTTCATTGAGCTGAAGTGGTCTGGGTGCCTATAGTGGTCCTTTAATGAAGCAGTCTCACTGCTCCATTCTCTGCCATTTAGGAGTTAAATCACTTTTGTGCAGCCGTAGTCACACCTCTCCTGGCCGGTTTCATTTTAACCCAGATGTAAATTATTTTAAAAATTTGTTTCCCCTACTTTGTAAATTAAACTTTAATTACATACAGGAGACTCCTGCAAGGTCTAGCAAGCAATTAACAGAGCAGGAAATAGGAAATACTAAATAAAACAGAATTTGCAATAAGGGAAGTGTAAACATTAGATGACTATTTACAGGAAGTGTGTATGAGGGCTGTGTAAGTCACATGCAGGGAGGTGTGACTAGAGCTGTATAAACAAAGTGATTTAACTCCTAAATGGCAGAGAATTTGGTCAGTGAGACGTAAGCAGTGACAATGTAACTTTAGTGAATAACCCTGTAATTGTTTCAGGTTTCAGTGTATCATGCAAAGCATGATCTATACACCAAAACTGGTTCATTAAACTAAAGTTGTTTTGGTGACTATAATTACAATGATATATAATTGTTTGTCACTGGGTGCTAAAATCAGTGTGAAAAAGGGCACATACCCTTCGTTAAAAAATCATTTAAAAATCTATACACACAGATTTCTTTTGTATACCTCATTAAATGACATACATATTGGAGGAGCATTATGAAAATGGCCAGTTTATGTTGATCGTATTTATTAAAGTGATCTAAAAAGATACTGTTTCCTTCATAATAAATTCCAACCGTTTTTGCAGAAAATTCCTTTTCAGACGATTACCTAATTTATAGTGTCGGAGAAATAATATTCCCAAATCTGTTCTCTCTGTGAAAAGTGGTGCATTTCAAAAATTAGTCGGGATGCCAAAAAAGCAACAGGTTAAAAAAAAAAAAACAGATTTCATTATTTGTTCCAAAAATTAGACTGAAAATTATTGGTGGCATTTTGATAAATCTCCTTCACACTGGAAAACTAACAGGAATATTTCACATTTTCGGCCTAGATAACTGGAACTATGGCGTAGATAGAGAATTTGTAGTAATTTATGGAAACTGTTCACAAATGGTTTAACCCCAAAGTCTCCTCTCCAGTGTCATTTTGTTCTGCCCCTCCCAACATCCATTTTCTGAAAATCTTTAATACGGAAGCTTCAGGCTGGTGAGCCAGCGCATAGGGTCTCCTGGCACCATAACAACCTAAGTTTGATAAAGTTTTCATGGTGCCCAGAGGATACCTTTATTCATTGCATTTTTATTAGTTAAATTAAACTATGGCTTGCAGGAGTTGATTATTGAGAGACATCTCTCTATGGAAAGTTACTTTATCTGTCACATTGACCCTAATACTGAAGTCATTGGTACACATTTATCATGCGTTCTGATTCAAAAGAGTGATTTCTTTTAAAAAAAAAGCCTGTTACATTTAAATTTGGGTTAATTATTATTATGTTATTTATATAGCGCCATCAAATTCCACATCGCTTTACAATGGGTGGACGAACAGACATGTAGTTGTAACCAGACAAGTTGGACACACAGGAACAGACGGTTTGAGGGCTCTGCTCAATGAGCTTACATGCTAGAGGGAGTGGGGTAAAATGACACAAAAAGGTAAGGATAATATTAGACTAGTGACAGTTGCAGAAGAGGAATCAGTCAGGAGCTATTAACCGTTTAATTGATACGCTTTTATGAAGAAGTGGGTTTTTAACGATTTTTTTGAAGGAGTGGAGACTGGGTGAGCATCTAACGGAGGAGGGAAGCGAGTTCCACAGGAATGGTGCAGCCCTCAAAAAATCTTGAAGGCGAGCATTGGAGGTGGGAGTACGGACAGAAGTAAGTCTTCAGCAGATCGTAAGGGCCTAGACGGGACATACTTGTGTATAAGAGAGGATAGATAGGTGGAAGCAGCATTATGTAGCGATTTGAAAGCAAGAACCAGAATTTTAAATTAAGCTCTATATTTTATAGGAAGCCAATGTAGGGACTGACAGAAGGGTTGAGGCATGGGAGGTGCGGGCGGACAGGAAGATGAGCCTTGCTGCCGCATTCATTACGGACTGTAACGGCGCAAGTTGGGAGCACGTAAGACCACTGAGAAGCAGATTACAGTAGTCAAGGCGAGAAAGGACAGTGGAATGGACCAACACCTTAGTCGCATCTGACGTTAAGTAGGGGTGGATGCACGCAATGTTTTTGAGATGGAAATGACAGGATTTGGCGATAGATTGAACATGAGGCTTGAAGGAGAGGTTGCAGTCAAAGAGAACACCTAGGCAGCGAGCCTGCGTGGTGGAGCTGATGGTAGCACCGTTGACTTGGAGGAAGACAGACACAGGAGTAACAACACTTGAGGGAAGAAAGATCAGTATTTCAGTTTTGGTCAAGTTTAGTTTAAGGAAGTGGGCGGCCATCCAGTTAGAAACAGCAGAGAGGCAGTCAGAAACACTAGTCAAGAGGGACGGGGAGAGATCAGGAGAGGACAGATAGATTTGCGTGTCATCTGCATAGAAATTATATTGGAAACCAAAGGAGCTAATGAGTTTACCAAGGGAATTAATTGTCAGTTGGCGTAGCACATTTTATAGAAACGGTCAAACTTTTCAAAAGATCTTATAAAGGTAAAAGGGTGATATTTTCTGTTGGAACTAGAATCAGATGGCGTAACCTGAAGTTAACGAGAGGAAAAAATGTAAAGGTAGGGTCTGGAAATACTGACAAAGAGAAAGTTATTGATTTGAATGACCTTCCAGTAGAGCTCATACTTGAAACGTTGGGATTTGACATATTGCTAAATGAAAGTTTAGCGAGTTTCTGTTACAGTTGCCAATCAAATTTACCCACAATCCATCAGTAAAACCAATCCCACAAAAGAGAAACAGCAGATATCATGGCAGAGGAGAACAAAATGGCCGCTCCCAGATAACGAGATCAAATACAAGGAAGAAAATATAATAAATATAAACAAAGGCAAATAGTAAGGTAGGGAGTATAATCATTAACATACAGCAGGCATACTGAAAGGAAAACCAAAAGGAAAAAAAACAGGTCTCCGTTAAGGTAAAACATGCTTTTTCAGCAGAAATGAGCGTCTCGAGTGGCCAATCTGCTTTTATCTACCATCAAAATCTGCATCTAACCTACATACGAATTGACAGTTGGCCTACTTTTGTCTTTCTTTCTTTTCTCTATTGTTGACAATTTAGCCAAAGTGTTTTCTAAATAAATCTGCTTCTAGTTCAATTATTTCTCAATAGTATTCTGTTCTGAAGAAGGGTCTCCTACCTATTTAATTTATCATGCAAGTTTATCAGTAATGATTTTGTTTAAATTCAATTTTGGCTTATTGGTCCATGATATTTTCATCTCCTCATAATCTTAAAACTATTAGATCCCGATGTAGTTGTCATGGCGCCCGGAGGTTGTATGTGTGCTGTCTTACATTAAATATATGAACTGTTCAAACCTAAAGTGGCACAAATCAAGTCACCCCCTCAACTTCAGTGACTGGACACTGCTGATTGGATAGACGTGAACTTGGTTCTATTTCAGTCTGTTTCAGTTGCCAATCAAATGTACTCTCAATCCATCAGTAAAAAAAAAAATCCCACGTAAGTGAAACTGCAGACATCATGGAAAAGAGGAGAACAAAATGACTGTACCCAGGCATTAAGATCTAGCTATTAAGAACGGGAGTATAATCATTAAACATACTCTGGACATAAGGAATAGTCTACAAAAAACTGAAATAAAAAAAAAATTACATGACACTTTAATGAAAGAAATATGGAAACAAGCCCTATGTCAAGCATTGACTTGCTTTCTGTACTCCTGGCCCATAAGCATTGTAATGAGGGTTTTAACAAAGCATGTTTTAGTGTAGTTTGATACCTGGATACCCGGGGCCAGTGGCGGACTAAGGGGGGGGGCGTAGGGGGCGGTCTGCCCCGGGTGCCACCTGACCCTGGTCTTGGGGCTGGAGGGGGCTGTGTGAGCTGTGCCCCATGGCAGCTGGGGTGACACACAGATCACATGGAGACCAGCAAAATTAACTGGCCGCACGGGAGGAAGGGGCGGAGCTACGGTCACTTAGGGGCGGCACCTAACTGCGAGTGGGGCGGGGCTTAACACGCCCTTACAAGCTGCTGTAACTGCTGCACATGGAGGTGCAGCAAGAAGAAATCCCTGCTCCTCCACCTCCAGCCAAGCAAGGACTTCATGCCAGGGTATCCACTCCTCCAGCCCACACTGTCTGTAAGTATAAGAGTGTGTGTGTGTGTGTGTGTAACTGCCTGCCTGAAACTGTGTGTGTGTGACTGTCAGTCTGTAACTGTGTGTGTGTGTAACTGTGTGTGTGACTCAGTCTGTAACTGTGTGTATGTGTGTGTGACTGTCAGTCTGTAACTGTGTGTG